GAGTCTATCAGGTATAAACCTGCCGACACACCGAATTCAGATTAGTAGACTTCGCTGGCTGGGGCACGTATTGTGTATGTCCAACTGCCGTCTGCCGCACTGAGCTTTATTCGCTGTAGCTAATCCGGGTTGGAGAAAACCACGTGGAGGTCAACAGATGACGTGGAGACGAGGCATGAAGAAATGCAGGTAGAGTAGGTGTCTTTCGTCTTCCAGGTTGGGGTCCGAAAGACTCCACAACTGGTTGGTTGCGGACATGGAAGGATATAGCAGTGAACCGACAGCAGTGGCGTTCTTGCTGTAGTTTCTTATCAGGTCAAAATGCTTGAAACGGTATGTATGCAGAGTTCGATTGCGTACTCTGTGTTGACCATAGAGATTCACCCTCTTTCAAAATAGATCCAATCCCTGTTCACCTTAAATTTTAGCACTAACGGTGTATGCATTGCGAGTTTGGCAGCGATCAGTGAAGTTCGCCTCACTGTATTTCGCTGTACGATGATGATGACTACAAGCCTGAGTGCGGTATTAAACCGGACGACAGTCAACATACCTATCACCAAACTCGGATGGCAGTAGCGTAGTTTGAACCTCAGAAATTCGGGTCAAGAGCACGGTCATATTGAATATAATCACTAGACCATCATTGTCATGATATTTGCAGTACGGTAGGCGGGATTTTTTTTATTATACAGCTACGTGCGATGAACAGCAGACGGGGCGAACCCCATGATCGCGAGGACCTGCTGTTCAGTGGTGGAAACCGGCAACCTAAGCCCCGGACTTGGAGTGGCCAACCACATAAGACTCCGATAGGTTAGGCGTGGTACTGAACCGGACGACAACAGAGCTGCCTACCAGCACAGGGATACCTGTGATTCTATGAAACGAAGACCTAAAAGAATCCATGCAATCGAAACGCTATCTTAATAGTCACTCATAAGTTCATTACAATTGCCGACATTTTTTGTTGTATTCGATAGTATAGTAATGGCTGACATCTGCGCTTATGCATCCTGTCTTCTATGGGAGCTAATTGGCGAAACCGGTTAATTATATTGATGAATTAGTCGTGCAAATGAGGCGTGAGCTGAAAAGCTAGGAAGTACTGGTTGGGTCTCATCGGGTGTGCGAATCCATCGACCCAACTGTGGATCGAAATCGGGACCTCACAGGTAGAACGCAAGCATACTACCCACTGGGCACCAGGCAGCTGATCACAACGTTTCTCATTTTGAATTAACACCATACAGTACAAATTCTCCATTCCTGTGATACAATAATTAGTCAGGTTGTCAAAGTTTCCAAACGAGTCATAATCTGGAGGCGAAAGCTGAGATGAACTAGGCGCGATGACCGTAACAAGTTCGCAAAGACGGGTAGTGCTATATCGTGTAAATGGAAAATGAAAAACGGCCTTTTGGTTGCTCATTTGAATGAACAGTAGGAGAAAAACAGGAAACGAATAGAAAATGGAGAATTTTAGTGGACTAATGTTGCAGAGAAATTAATGACATACATCAGAGCCACTGTTTACGACACCCAGCTATATCCCTCAGTATCTCTAACCATCGGGTGCGATCATCCCGAGGTCCCAATCCAGGGAGCCTAGCGGGACCTGTGACCCAGTCCCCTGGTTAGGGTTTTCGTACCCTCATGCCAGGTCTAAGTTTGACCACCCTTGATTTTTTTCCAACCGCTACCTGCCTCGACAAGCATCGCTCGCCGTGGCAACCTATCTGATGACATGCGTAGCACATGTCCCAACCAGCGTAATCTATGGGGGTCGACTACCTGTTCCAGTGGACGACCGCGATTGCCTAAAACTCTACGCCTAACCTCAGCATTGCTCGTCCGGTTTCCCCACCAGAGTCGTGCAATGCTACGTAGACAGCGGTGTTCAAACACCGACAGTCTATCTTTATCCTGTTTTCTTAATGGCCAAGTCTCTTCAGCGTAAGGCAGAACTAGCCGAACTGACGCGGCACATACTCGACCCTTCACAGACGGCGCCACAGATGTTTCAAGTTGGCAAATTTCAACCGAGCCTTCTGTATGCGAACTGACACTTTATCCGTGATGCATTCACCGGGTAAGAAGTAGCTGCCCAAATAACAAAACTTATCAACTTGCTCTATTACTTCCCCAGGTAGAATGAGTCTGGGTGCTGAATCAACCAGCAAAGTAGATGGACCAAGGATGTAAGCCACACAAATAGCAGTAGCAGTTTTCATCCGGAATGAGAGTTGACCAATTAAATGCGATGTAAAACTTTGCATAGCAGCTTCTATCCCAGAGAGTTATCTCATGATTGAGATTAATCAACAATTTTGATGAAGATGTGAGAATAAGGTAGTTTGAAGTTGTTATGATGGTTTATACCAAGTATATTATTGAACCCGACAGGATTGGCCCGGGACATTTGTCTTTTTGTGATCTTCATAATGCAGCAATTTTATGGGCTTGTGATTATCAATGCTAACATGAACCGGTGAATATTTCACCGTCTCGCGAGGAAGTTTCCCCCTTTCGTTTTACTGTCCAGAGCTTACAAAACGGGAGAGGTACGAGGGAATTTTTATGGATTCCGCTGCACTCGTTGAATCTCTGGTGGTATATATTCGGGAGGATCGAAGAATGAGTCAGAACGCGACATTGATCCCAATTCAAAACAAGAGGTTAATCAGTGCTGCCCCGTTTGTCAGCGGTTTGACCACACGAGCATGCATCGCATTCCTTGGGTAGTTGAAAAAAGTGATCGGCACATCAATCGAACCGACCGAAAATTCAAAATTCACACGGGTTGGTGAATCAATGACGCGCATCCTGATGGTCAGGTTCAGCCATATGTGGATTAAGCAATTTGAATCATTGTCCCGTAAGTAGAACACGATATTGAAAGCATGGGACGGTTTCTAAACTGTTCTTTATTTATTTCAGATGGAAGGGGAGCATGGAGTTTGTGAAACAAACCAGAGGTGAGTCATGCTTTCTACAGAAGACGACAAGCATTTGCGGTCAAATAAGTTCAACGCATGAAAGGGTTACATTAGGCGCAAAATTGTCATGCTGACAAAACTGAGAGTTGGGGGGAGGGGCACAATCAAATGGAGAATAAAAGCCCTGCATCGATTTGAGCGCTGTGAGCAATCATGTCAAGACTACGGTGCCGGGTGGAGCAAAACAAATGATCACGATTCCAGTAGCACTACGCGGATGGCCAGCGTGATCAAGAGTGTTTTAATGGAAGAAAAGGTGACGATAGTGCATCAAATGAGTAACTGACGATGCGTAGTAAAATTTCAATCAGTTCTAAAAATGATTGAGAAAAGTGATTACAATGCGCATATGATCTCTGATGACTGTATGAAAAGAGTGGCCAAGCTTAACCATACTTACGACGGGTTGTAACATGCTCGCGGTGTTTCTTTCAGTCCTACAGAAAGCAGACTGGGCCGCCGTAAAACAAACAAAGATGAAAACTAACTTTCCATTGCAGGAAAGAGAAAAACGCCGCGGTCACAAATATCTGGTCGCTTGGACAATGGAACACGAATCCAAGAGCTTGTAAAATCACATGGCAACTGTTTCAAGCCGAGCATAAAAATAAACGCACCAAACACAAAAATAATTAAAAATTCATACAAAACCTTCAGCTGTGTTGGTGTGGTGACTTTTAAAAAGACAGTGATAAGATTGAAGCGATGAATGTAGAAGAGATTTATGCATAACAGACACATGGAATTAAAAAGCACGTTTCCAACCAAGAAAATTAAACAAAATGCGATAAACCGCCAAGAGCAGATATTAAAAATACATTAGGATAACGAGGAAACAATATCTATCACGGATAACTTTCGCTGAACGTGAAGACACTCACTGTGGATTGCAGAAGTGAGCGATTCTGTAAATGCTTTTGCCAGTGAAGTGACGGGAAAATGGAAAAAGCGAACAGAAGAGCTAATAGAAAGCGAGCACAGCCATCCAAGTGATGAGGTAAAACAATAAAGCTTACGGAGCTTCTTCCAAGGGAACTGCATAGTTGGATCCAGTAGGCACATCTAAGGCAACTGGCTCAGCCCCTGCAACCGCCACTTGCGTCACAACTTCCGGATTAACGTGATTTTCTTGTGCGGTAGTGTGCACAATGTTTGCAAGTATTGTCTGAAAAAGTAAGAGAACGTACAAGTATATTTAGTAGCAGCTGATCAGACGGGTAAATCGTGCCGCACGTGTAAGGGATACTTCTTAAATGTGGAAAGATGATTAAGTGATTAGCCATGGATACCAATCACTTTTTTCATCTTTGTCTTCCCTCTGATTTATTTATTGCAATACCACCTTCAAGTATACAATTTCAGGTCGGAAATTGCTTTCAATAAGTCAGATTCATGCATTTACAGTTTGTATTTAACGATAAATCCGTGGTTTGGGAGGATCGTATCGGATTGGGTGGAGGGATTACTTTGTATGTGAGCACATAACAGGTCATAGCTGTCGTAAGTTACTCGTGCGTGGTGTGGACCAGATCCGACAGATTGGTGTCATTGTGTGCATGTGCCAGGGGGGTTAACGAACCCAGGGCAAATGCAGAACCTGCGTTAACCGCTTCTAGGCACACAACTCGAGGACCAAGTGTTTACTACAGACGTTCTCGACTATGATCAATCCACGCATCCCAGCATATTTAGATTGGTTCAGAGGAAACTGATAAATGACTTTTAACGCTTTCAGTAGGCTAGCGTGATGGCCAGGGTCTGTCAAGTGAGCGAGAATAGCACTTGACCTTGATCCAAAACCACCTTGGCTCAGGAAGCGCGTGCCGATAAAGAGCTTCACTGCCGGGGTACCGTGCGGCACAAACCGAACTGAACACGTAAACAACCATCAAAGAAGTCAAAATCTGTAATTTATACATATATATATATATATATATATATATATATATATATATATATATA